GGCATGTGAGTGTGGCATGGCATGTGAGTGTGGCATGGCATGTGAGTGTGGCAATGGCATGTGAGTGTGGCATGGCATGTGAGTGTGGCATGGCATGTGAGTGTGGCATGGCATGTGAGTGTGGCATGGCATGTGAGTGTGGCAATGCATGTGAGTGTGGCATGGCATGTGAAGTGTGGCATGGCATGTGAGTGTGGCATGGCATGTGAGTGTGGCATGGCATGTGAGTGTGGCATGGCATGTGAGTGTGGCATGGCAGGTGAGTGTGGCCATGGCATGTGAGTGTGGCATGGCATGTGAGTGTGCATGCAGTGAGTTTGCATGGGCATGTGAGTGTGGCATGGCATGTGAGTGTGGCATGGCATGTGAGTGTGGCATGGCATGTGAGTGTGTGCATGGCATGTGAGTGTGGCATGGCATGTGAGTGTGGCATGGCATGTGAGTGTGGCATGGCATGTGAGTGTGGCATGGCATGTGAGTGTGGCATGGCATGTGAGTGTGGCATGGCATGTGAGTGTGGCATGGCATGTGAGTGTGGCATGGCATGTGAGTGTGGCATGGCATGTGAGTGTGGCATGGCATGTGAGTGTGGCATGGCATGTGAGTGTGGCATGGCATGTGAGTGTGGCATGGCATGTGAGTGTGGCATGGCATGTGAGTGTGGCATGGCATGTGAGTGTGGGACATGGCATGTGAGTGTGGCATGGCATGTGAGTGTGGCATGGCATGTGAGTGTGGCATGGCATGTGAGTGTGGCATGGCATGTGAGTGGTGGCATGGCAATGTGAGTGTGGCATGGCATGTGAGTGTGGCATGGCATGTGAGTGTGGCATGGCATGTGAGTGTGGCATGGCATGTGAGTGTGGCATGGCATGTGAGTGTGGCAGCATGTGAGTGTGCATGGCAGTGAGTGTGGCATGGCATGTGAGTGTGGCATGTGCATGTGAGTGTGGCATGGCATGTGAGTGTGGCATGGCATGTGAGTGTGGCATGGCATGTGAGTGTGGCATGGCATGTGAGTGTGGCATGGCATGTGAGTGTGGCAGGCATGTGAGTGTGGCATGGCATGTGAGTGTGGCATGGCATGTGAGTGTGGCATGGCATGTGAGTGTGGCATGGCATGTGAGTGTGGCATGGCATGTGAGTGTGCATGGCATGTGAGTGTGGCATGCATGTAGTGTGGCAGGCATGTGGTGGGCATGGCATGTGAGTGTGGCATGGCATGTGAGTGTGGCATGGCATGTGAGTGGCATGGCAGTGGTGGCATGGCATGTGAGTGTGGCATGGCATGTGAGTGTGGCATGGCATGTGAGTGTGGCATGGCATGTGAGTGTGGCATGGCAGTGGTGTGCTGGCAGTGTGGCATGGCATGTGAGTGTGGCATGGCATGTGAGTGTGGCATGGCATGTGAGTGTGGCATGGCATGTGAGTGTGGCATGGCATGTGAGTGTGGCATGGCATGTGAGTGTGGCATGGCATGTGAGTGTGGCATGGCATGTGAGTGTGGCATGGCATGTGAGTGTGGCATGGCATGTGAGTGTGGCATGGCATGTGAGTGTGGCATGGCATGTGAGTGTGGCATGGCATGTGAGTGTGGCATGGCATGTGAGTGTGGCATGGCATGTGAGTGTGGCATGGCATGTGAGTGTGGCATGGCATGTGAGTGTGGCATGGCATGTGAGTGTGGCATGGCATGTGAGTGTGGCATGGCATGTGAGTGTGGCATGGCATGTGAGTGTGGCATGGCATGTGAGTGTGGCATGGCATGTGAGTGTGGCATGGCATGTGAGTGTGGCATGGCATGTGAGTGTGGCATGGCATGTGAGTGTGGCATGGCATGTGAGTGTGGCATGGCATGTGAGTGTGGCATGGCATGTGAGTGTGGCATGGCATGTGAGTGTGGCATGGCATGTGAGTGTGGCATGGCATGTGATGTGTGGCATGGCAATGTGAGTGTGGCATGGCATGTGAGTGTGGCATGGCATGTGAGTGTGGCATGGCATGTGAGTGTGGCATGGCATGTGAGTGTGGCATGGATGTGAGTGTGGCATGGCATGTGAGTGTGGCATGGCATGTGAGTGTGCATGGCATGTGAGTGTGGCATGGCATGTTGAGTGTTGGCAGGCATGTGAGTGTGTGGGCATGGCACTGTGAGTGTGGCATGGCATGTGAGTGTGGCATGGCATGTGAGTGTGCATGGCATGTGAGTGTGGGCATGGCATGTGAGGTGGCATGGCGCTGTGAGTGTGGCATGGCATGTGAGTAGGGCATGGCATGTGAGTGTGGCATGGCATGTGAGTGTGGCATGGGAATGTGAGTGTGGGCATGGCATGTGAGTGTGGCATGGGCATGTGAGTGGGCATGGCATGGTGAGTGTGGCATGGCATGTAGTGTGCATGCGTGTGAGTGGGCATGGCATGTGAGTGTGCATGGCATGTGGTGTGGGCATGGCTGTGGTTGTGGCATGGCATGTGAGTGTGGCATGGCATGCTGAGTGTGGTCATGGCATGTGAGTGTGGCCATGGCATGTGAGTGTGGCATGGCATGTGAGTGTGGCATGGCATGTGAGTGTGGCATGGCATGTGAGTGTGCATGGCGTGAGTGTCCATGTGAGTGTGGCATGGCATGTGAGTGTGGCATGGCATGTGAGTGTGGCATGGCATGTGAGTGTGGCATGGCATGTGAGTGTGGCATGGCGTGAGTGTGGCATGCATGGAGTGTGCATGGCAATGTGAGTGTGGCATGGCATGTGAGTGTGCATGGCATGTGAGTGTGGCATGGCATGTGAGTGTGGCATGGCATGTGAGTGTGGCATGGCATGTGAGTGTGGCCATGGCATGTGAGTGTGGGCATGGCAAATGTGAGTGTGGCATGGGCATGTGAGTGTGGCATGGCATGTGAGTGTGGCATGGCATGGTGAGTGTGGCATGGCATGTGAGTGTGGCATGGCATGTGAGTGTGGCATGGCATGTGAGTGTGGCATGGCATGTGAGTGTGGCATGGCATGTGAGTGTGGCATGGCATGTGGTGTGGCATGGCATGTGAGTGTGGCCATGGCATGTGAGTGTGGCATGGCATGTGAGTGTGGCATGGCTATGTGAGTGTGGCATGGCATGTGAGTGTGCATGGCATGTGAGTGTGGCATGGCATGTGAGTGTGGCATGGCATGTGAGTGTGGCATGGCATGTGAGTGTGGCATGGCATGTGAGTGTGGCATGGCATGTGAGTGTGGCATGGCATGTGAGTGTGGCATGGCATGTGAGTGTGGCATGGCATGTGAGTGTGGCATGGCATGTGAAGTGTGGCATGGCATGTGAGTGTGGCATGGCATGTGAGTGTGGCATGGCATGTGAGTGTGGCATGGCATGTGAGTGTGGCATGGCATGTGAGTGTGGCATGGCATGTGAGTGTGGCATGGCATGTGAGTGTGGCATGGCATGTGAGTGTGGCATGGCATGTGAGTGTGGCATGGCATGTGAGTGTGGCATGGCATGTGAGTGTGGCATGGCATGTGAGTGTGGCATGGCATGTGAGTGTGGCAATGGCATGTGAGTGTGGCATGGCATGTGAGTGTGGCATGGCATGTGAGTGTGGCATGGCATGTGAGTGTGGCATGGCATGTGAGTGTGGCATGGCATGTGAGTGTGGCATGGCATGTGAGTGTGGCATGGCATGGGAGTGTGGCATGGCATGTGAGTGTGGCATGGCATGTGAGTGTGGCATGGCATGTGAGTGTGGCATGGCATGTGAGTGTGGCATGGCATGTGAGTGTGGCATGGCATGTGAGTGTGGAGGCATGTGAGTGGTGGCCATTGGCATGTGAGGTGGCATGGCATGTGAGTGGGCATGGCCATGTGAGTGTGGCATGGCATGTGAGTGTGCATGGCATGTGAGTGTGGCATGGCATGTGAGTGTGGCATGGCATGTGAGTGTGGCATGGCATGTGAGTGTGGCATGGCATGTGAGTGTGGCATGGCATGTGAGTGTGGCATGGCATGTGAGTGTGGCATGGCATGTGAGTGTGGCATGGCATGTGAGTGGTGGCATGGCATGTGAGTGTGGCATGCATGTGAGTGTGGCATGGCATGTGAGTGTGGCATGGCATGTTGAGTGTGGCATAGGCACTGTGAGTGTGGCATGGCATGTGAGTGTGGCCATTGGCATGTGGAGTGTGGCATGGCATGTGAGTGTGGCATGGCATGTGAGTGTGGATGGCAGTGAGTGTGGCAGGCATGTGAGTGTGGCATGCATGTGAGTGTGGCATGGCATGCTATGAGTGTGGCATGGCATGTGAGTGTGGCATGGCATGTGAGTGTGGCATGGCATGTGAGTGTGGCATGGCATGTGAGTGTGGCATGGCATGTGAGTGTGGCATGGCATGTGAGTGTGGCATGGCATGTGAGTGTGGCATGGCATGTGAGTGTGGCATGGCATGTGAGTGTGGCATGGCATGTGAGTGTGGCATGGCATGTGAGTGTGGCATGGCATGTGAGTGTGGCATGGCATGTGAGTGTGGCATGGCATGTGAGTGTGGCATGGCATGTGAGTGTGGCATGGCATGTGAGTGTGGCATGGCATGTGAGTGTGGCATGGCATGTGAGTGTGGCATGGCATGTGAGTGTGGCATGGCATGTGAGTGTGGCATGGCATGTGAGTGTGGCATGGCATGTGAGTGTGGCATGGCATGTGAGTGTGGCATGGCATGTGAGTGTGGCATGGCATGTGAGTGTGGCATGGCATGTGAGTGTGGCATGGCATGTGAGTGTGGCATGGCATGTGAGTGTGGCATGGCATGTGAGTGTGGCATGGCATGTGAGTGTGGCATGGCATGTGAGTGTGGCATGGCATGTGAGTGTGGCATGGCATGTGAGTGTGGCATGGCATGTGAGTGTGGCATGGCATGTGAGTGTGGCATGGCATGTGAGTGTTCCAACCACTTAACCTAGCCTCCCTCACTCCGCCCGTCCTTATGCTCCCCCCTCCGTTGCCATCACCCTTAGTGTCATCCGCGATAAGGGCATCTCCGGATCCATCTGCTCCAATATAGGCCTCCTCACTTCGCTGGTCAAGATGTACGTTTGACGTTTGACCGAGTTGAGAAGGAGGTATCAGGTTTTCGGAATCGTACCTGGTATCAACAGGAGGTATCATCAGGAGCCGGGACTGAAGTGAGGAGGTATTAGTGTGTATGTTTGACGTATGACCAAGGGTACGTATCAGGCTTTGGATGTGAATGTGGGTAGATGTGAACACTAAAAACATTCCTGATTGGTAGGTATAGTATATTTTGAAAGTCGCCTAAGATGATTCAGTGCCTCTCATCCTTGTTTCGAACTTTACACCCTCCCCCTTTTTCCTGTTCCATCCTCGTTAGTGACATGGCCAACAACTCGCTATCAGGCTCGATTCCCAACAGCCTTGGCAACCTTGCAAGACTGGCCGTCTTGTGAGTAGTTCTAATCAGTTTCCGCTGCACTTGATACATTCTCTTGCAAGTAGAGCACATGATAGCAGGGGGGACCTCTCTAGCAGTTTCAGCTTTCCGCCCTGCGCCTTAGCGATTCTCATCACTGGATACATTTCATTTCCTTGCAAGTCTACATTTCACTTGAAACATTCCCTTGCGCCTTAGCAGTTGTCTCCTCCTTTCCTTTACTGCCTTTCTCTGACACCCAGCAACCTCCAGCAGAACCGACCCACAGGACACTTCCCCCCCACGCTCTCTCCCTTGGCCAGCGTCCTCCTCTGACAATTCCCTTTGCCTCGCCAGATGCATCAAGTTTTTTCCCCTGAATGCCTTCCTTGCTGGCCCCCCTCTGACTTGCAGTAACCTCCAGCAGAACCATCTCACAGGGCAATTTCCCCCCACGCTCTCTCTTGCCTCGCCAGCTTCCTCCTATGCTTCTTTCCTTTGGCTCGCCAGACATCTCAAGCTTTTCCCCTGGTCCGCCTCCATTGCTGCCCCCCCCTTCGGACGTGCAGCAACCTCCAACACAACCGACTCTCGAGTCACTTCCCCCCCACAATGTCTCGCCTCGCCAGTCTCCAGATGTTGTGAGTGGCCTCAATCCATCTACTCATCCCTTCATCCCTCCATTCATCCTTCTCTTCCCTCCTCGCTCCCTCGCTTCCTCTTCCATTCTCCTCCCTTCCTCCTTTCCACACCAAACCCGCCTTTCAGTCCTCCCCTGTGCTCTCCCTTTGAATTGAATTGGCCTCGCAATGCCTTTGTCCCTCGTCTACCCGCTTGCCCCTCGTCTACCCGCTTGCCCCTCGTCTACCCGCTTGCCCCTCGTCTACCCGCTTGCCCCTCGTCTACCCGCTTGCCCCTCGTCTACCCGCTTGCCCCTCGTCTACCCGCTTGCCCCTCGTCTACCCGCTTGCCCCGTTCGTCTCTCCCCATTCCTCCCCCACCCAACTATTTCAGTGATGTTCATACCAATAACATGTCCGGGCCCCTCATATTATCAGCTGCTTGCCCCTTCCCCCTAACCTCTTTCTTACCAACCCCCTCCTCCCCCCGCTTTCCCCCTCCCCCACCCCGCATCGGTTTCAGTGATGTTAACACCAACAATTTGTCTGGGCCCCTCTTATACCCCGTCGGAACTCTTTCAAACATAAAGCTAATGTAAGTGATCCCTTCTTGCTGCTTCACGCTTTCCTTTCAGACATAAATCTTGCAGCTTATTCTTGAAAAGTCTCCAAATAGTCCTGTGTTCCATCTAAGTTGCAGTCGCCTCTTTCCAACATATTTACCCCTCACCTCACTTGTTAGGAGATTACATACCAGCGGCTAGCCTCCCAGAACACATATGCCTCTCCCTCCCCTCCCCCCCCTGCTCGACATCTGAGGCGCCTCAAAAGATTACATACCAGCGGCTAGCCTCCCAGAACACGTATGCCTCTCCCTCCCCCCCCCTCCCCCCCCGTGCTCGACATTTGAGGCACCTCAAAAGATTACATACCAGCGGCTAGCCTCCCAGAACACGTATGCCTCTCCCTCCCCCCCCCCCCCCCCCCCTGCTCGACATTTGAGGCACCTCAAAAGATTACATACCAGCGGCTAGCCTCCCAGAACACATATGCCTCTCCCTCCCCCCCCCCCCCCCCCTGCTCGACATTTGAGGCGCCTCAAAAGATTACATACCAGCGGCTAGCCTCCCAGAACACATATGCCTCTCCCTCCCCCTCCCCCCCCCCCTGCTCGACATTTGAGGCGCCTCAAAAGATTACATACCAGCGGCTAGCCTCCCAGAACATATATGCCTCTCCTGCCCCCCCCTGTTCGCCCGTGCTTGCAGCAACGTTGCCCGCAACAACTTCAGCGGATCGCTCCCCACCTCCATCTACACCCTCACCAGCCTCCAAGAGATGTATGACTCTCACTTCCTCACTCACTCACTCCCTCACTCCCTCACTTCACTTGAAAAAACCTTCCCACCTCCATCTACACCCTCACCAGCCTCCAAGAGATGTATGCCTCTCCTCTCCCTTCATTCCCTCTCTCCCCTCACCTCCTTTCTCGTTTTGAGTAAATCTATTCCCACCTCCATCTACACCCTCACCTCACCAGTCTCCAAGAGATGTATGCCTTCTCTCTCCCCTCACTCCCTCTCTCCCCGTATCATTTAAAGACGCGTTCAAGCTTGCTCTCCAAGATGCGCTACAGCTCTCACCTAACCAGGCTCCTTCCACTCGCCTGACATAAAACTCGAAGCCGGAACTCCAACGACGGGTGGTTTGATGATAGTACTCGCATTTGGTATTTATTCCCTTGCTTCATCTATGTTGTGTGGTCCATGTATGTATATGGTGTGGTGGTATTTATGACCTATGGGGTTCATCTCAGTAGGGAAACAAAGTGCATCTCAGTAACCTAATCACCTTCTCACCCCACCACTACTTCCCCATGCCTGCGCTGCTCTGCAGGGACGTATCGGAAAATTCGCTCATGGGCTCCCTGCCTCTCTCTGCGAGCGCCCTCAGAGTCAGTCTTAACATCTTCTCATCACATCCCCTCCCCATGCCTGCTCTGCTCTGCAGGGACGTATCGGAAAATTCGCTCATGGGCTCCCTGCCTCTCTCTGCCAGCGCCCTCAGCGGCCTTCAGATGCTGTACGTTGGGGTAGCTAGGTTAGGTTGCCTTCATGTCGAGTTCGGGCACGTCCCATGTGTGCATGTATCTCTCATATAATGGCCCCATGCTCTCCCTGCCTCTCTCTGCAAGTTCTCTCAGCGGCCATCACTTGCTCTTGAGGTTTGAGATGTCTCGGAACTCCCTAAAGGTGTGCTCCCACCACATCCCATCCCACCACATCCCATCCCACCGCACCCCACCCCATCCCTACAGCAACATGGTCAACAACCGCTTCTCCGGCGAGTTACCAATCACTCTCGGCAATCTCACGAGCCTCACTCGCTTGTAAGTACTCAACTCAGACTCAGGTGATCAGCAGCAGCAGCAGCAGCATAGCCAGCAAATTATCGTTTTGAGGGAACCAGAGTGCTTAGCCCGACACCCTCACAATCTACCATCCATGAGCGTGGCTTGTGAGGGTGTTAAGCGTAATACTTGCTGCCAGTGAGCCGTCTCTCTCTCTTGCTCTAATCGCACTCGCCGCTGTTTTGCATCAAATCTTCTGCCTACCTGCCGGCCCCTTGTGTTTGCAGGGAGCTGGGGAGGAACTATTTCACGGGCACTCTGCCGACCTCCCTTGGGCATCTCACTGCTCTCATCAGCCTGTGAGCCTCCCAGCCCTCTCATCACCCCCCTTAAGGTGCATCATAGCTCACTGCTCTCATCAGCCTGTGAGCCTCCCAGCCCTCTCTTCACCCCCCTTAAGGTGCATCATAGCTCACTGCTCTCATCAGCCTGTGAGCCTGCTTTTCAATAAATGCAATATCAGTTCAAAATTCTCTATACCTGCTCCATCTTCCCCCTTCCTCCCTTTGCTCCCTTTCCTTAGCTCCTCCCTTTCCCTCCCTCTCAGCTGGGAGCACTTAGTACCCCTCCTTTCTCACTCACCTCCCTTCCTCTCTTCCCTTACCTCCTCTCATCTCTCTCCTTCCACCCTTTCTTCCCTTCCCCCCTTCTCCTCCCTGTCCCCATCAGCGGGCTACAGGGCATGCTAGGAGGCTCCTTATTTCAGTAGACTCAATGCCTCCTCATCCCTACCCTCCTTTTCCTAACCTCCTTCCTTCCTTCCCTTGGCCTGATCCCTCTTCCCTTTCCTTTCCTCCTCTCCTCCTACTATCAGCGGGCTACAGGGCAACACGCTAGGAGGCTCCATACCCTCTCAGCTGGGAGCACTTATCAGCCTCAACACGCTGTGAGTGTCGCCATGGTGTCTTGCTCGTGTCATGATTGAATCATAATCATAAACATAGCATAATGGTGAGCATGAGCATGCTTAGGGTCTCCGCAGCCCACGTGTCCGCTACTGACAGCTGCTGCTCGTGTCATGATTGAATCATAATCATTGCATAATGGTGAGCATGCTTAGGGACACCGCCTCGGGAGTGCCTGTGCTGCCCACCTAGTGCCTGTGCTGCCCACCTGGTGCCTGGCAAGGGAGTACAGGCAGCACAGGCAGCACAGGCAGCACAGGCAGCACAGGCAGTACAAGCAGCACAGGCAGCACAGGCAGCACAGGCAGCATATCATTTTAGTGAGTATGGTGAGGGACAACGCCCCGGGAGTGCCTGTGCTGCCCACCTGGTATGTTACCGTGCTCCCTTCCCATCTCCTCCCCTCCCCCTTCTCCCCTCTTCCCCTTTCTCCCCCCTCCCCCTCTCCTTCTCCCCCCCTTCCCAATCACCAGCGACGTGTCCAACAATCAGTTCCGGGGCGTTCTTTCTTTGTGACAGGCACCTCAACACTAAATGATTGAGTCTCAATCCATCCCCCTCTCTTTTCCTTCCGCCTACCCCTCCCCTTCCCCCCTTTCCCAATCACCAGTGATGTGTCTAACAATCAGTTCCGAGGCGCTCGTCTCCTCCCCCTCAATACTTGTTTCGTCCTCCCATGTCCCCCCGCATCTTGCCCTCCCCCTCTCCTTCCCCCCTTTCCCAATCACCAGTGACGTGTCTAACAATCAGTTCCGGGGCGCCCTTTCCCTCTCCCTCAATACTTGTTTCGACCACCCATTCCCCCCCGCATCTTGCCCTCCCCCTCTCCGTTCCCTCCCCCCCCCAATCACCAGTGACGTGTCTAACAATCAGTTTCCGAGGCGCTCCTCTCCTCCCCCTCAATAATTGTTTCGTCCTCCCATGTCCCCCCGCATCTTGCCCTCCCCCTCTCCTTTCCCCCCTTCCCAATCACCAGTGACGTGTCCAACAATCAGTTCCGAGGCGCTCCTCTCCTCCCCCTCAATAATTGTTTCGTCCTCCCATGTCCCCCCGCATCTTGCCCTCCCCCTCTCCTTTCCCCCCTTCCCAATCACCAGTGACGTGTCCAACAATCAGTTCCGGGGCGCACTTCCCCCCACCATTGGGAATCTCTCCTCACTCACTGACCTGTAAGCTAAGCAAGTCCGGATTCTGTTCTGAAGAATCGTTTAAGCTGGCTCTTCAAGAAGCGCTAACGCTCTCACCCACCTAACTGAGTCGATAGAAGTAAGGCCTCCGCAGCCCACCTGTCCTCCAGCAACCAGTTTCGGGACGCTCTTCCTGCCAGCCACTATTGAATGTCTCCATGCATTCTAGGTGACTTTTGAGTCGACTCAAAAGTCTCCTCCAGCAACCTATTCTTGGACGCTCTTCCTGCCACTATCGAATGTCTCCATGCATTCTCTGAGGCTGTCTTGTCTTGAGAAGTCAAATTTTGGGGCGCTCTTCCCGGATGCGGCGGGCCTCATATGCCCATCAGCAGCAGGCCGGCCACCATGTGACGTGTGGCAGGACCCCTCCTGTGTTCACGTGAGCTAAGACGACTCTAGATCCCTGTGGCAGGACCCCTCCTGTGTTCGCGTGAGCTGAGACGACTCTAGATCCCTGTGGCAGGACCCCTCCTGTGTTCGCCCTTGCCTCGCCTCCCTGCCTGATTTGGTCCTTCAGTCCTCTCTATTGTTGTGCCAAAGCACTATAGTGGCACGGTCATTGCACTCCCATTCCACCTACAAGCCTGCTCAGCTTCTGGAATTTTGTGGGGAGGTGCTTCAACATGTGTTCTTCAGACCCTCAAAATTTCAGATTTTTTTAAGCAGTTTACAAGGCATGGAAACAATTTTAGTTTCAAGACTTATGGCATCCCGAAAGTGTGTGTTACTCTATGTTGGTAACACCCGAGTTCACCATTTCGGCTGCTGACTCATCTACCAAGCTCTGATTGGTCTGAAAATTGGTGTGGCAGTCCTTTGTCGTGTTGTTCAGGTGGTCACCGAGTTTCAGGACAACCCAGCATCGGAGCAGCACGTGAAAGCTGTCGAAAGTTACTGTTCCGTAGTCATGGTGCACTGTTGGCAGCATTTCCCTTGCCACCCTTTCATTGTTGTCATGCCAATGGTGCAGGGACAGAGAATGAGACAAAAAATACAGGTGGTCAAGTGAGACTCTACCACCTTTCTTTTGAGAAGTGTAGTTTTCCTGGAAATAGCTTGTAAGAGGGTGCAAGTGGGAAAACAAGCTGACTCATGGTTGGCTTGACTCACTTGGTAGCCTTGAGTACAGCTCTGAACATTCAAGTGTGGTTGGCTTTGCTAACCTAGCTAAGACGTTTCCCATCTTTCTCTAGCCTTTTTCCCCTATGACTCAATCTTCTCTGAGTTCCCAAGATGGTCTCAACCACTTAAGAGTCCTCTAGGCAATGTTGTACTAACCTCTTCCTTGCATCAATGAAACTACACGTTTTCAGCCGAGCATACTTTTTCGTTCACTGCGTAGCGCATACACCTCTGATGAAAGCAAGCAATATACCGTTGGAAAGCAGACACCTGAAGCTAACGTCTGTCCAAGTTTCAGCCTCGTATGTTATCGGAGCTGATCGTGACGGCGTTTTGAACAGAGGCGGTTCAAAGTCATCAGATTCTGCTTAGGCGATTTCATGAGCATCCGCGACCCCTAAGTGGACTCTAGACTATAACAAGTGGTATCAAAACAATTATTTTTTGTTCCTGGGTCAATATGGAGGCTGAAAGTTCTGCTCCAGCTGGTCCTAGTGGCAGTGGTGGCGTGAGAGGCGCTGGGGAAGCAGGAAGAGTTGTTGCAGGCGGATCTGCACCAACAGCATCCGTTTCAACACCAGCCAAGGATGATGTGAAGGCATTCAACCTAGAAAAGTTCTTTGGGGAAGATTGAGCATCATGGAGCTTCAGAATGGAGCTTCTATTTAACCATTATGACCTGCGAGCGAAAGAGCGACGAAGGAATGGGATCGCTGATCCAAGGATGGATTCTTCTTTCTCTCTCAATGCCTCTCATCCAACTAGTTGCACCACGTCAAGCATCTCATCAAGGATATCCAGTGTGGTCCCAAAGCATGGAAAATATTGAAAGATGTCCATGCCCCCAGCAGCGAAGCGATGGTGGTGGTGCCCGAACGACAACTCCATGCGGTGAAATTAACGAGGGTGATGCCCTGCAAGGAGAGCGTTCGATCAACTTTGGGACCTCTATGTGAAGATCTTTGCTGCTGGTGTGGACTACCCTGAGAAGATCAAGTGTTACAATGCTCTCTCCCTGCTGCCGGAGTCGTGGGGCCCCTTGGTGGTCAACCTCAATGGCATGAAAGACTCATGGTCCCTTGAGTGGATCCGTGCTCAAGTCCTTCAAGAAGAGTTTCGGAGAAAAGAGCTGACTACCGCTGCCGGTGAAGGTGGAGGCTCTGCCTACGGCATAGAAAGGCTTCAAGGGACGTGGCAGCAAGAAAGACAAGGCCAAGGAAGGCTCTGGAGGGGAGCAGTATTCGGGAGGGAAACGTAGCAATAAGAGAGGCAAGTGTTGGTATTGCCATGTGAAAAGTCACCCGTGGTTTAAGCGTCGCAAGCTATCTGACGGTTGGAGGCATGGTTAGCCATCAATTGAAAGCTCTAAGAGTGTTCATGGAGCTATGAGAGAAGGCATGGGCAATGAGGAGGGCAATGAAACTGCCGGACATGGAGGCATGTTCTAGCATGCTCCGAGGACATGGTTGTACCGGCCAGCAAGGTTGCTCTTCACCGTTCCTCCCATCGGGTCATCGACACGGGAGCCTTCATGACCATGACCAACCGAGAGGATCTACTGGATGAAGTCAGACCATCAAAGGTAGCCACCGTCGTTTCAGCCACCGGCCAAGTTGTACCCGTGTGTGGCGAGAGGAGAGTCATGTTTATGGGTGCTGATAGGAGGCTTGTGGGGCTGAAGCGTGTTCTTCTTGTCCCTGGACTATGTGCCAACCTTCTTTCTATCAAGGCATTGAGTGAGGCAGGGATGAAGATGGAGATGATGGGCACAAAAGTGTTCAAAGCAACTCTGAATGGGCGCGTGTTGTGGGACCTCCGAGGCGGCAAGGACATGCACCGGTCCATGTGGGAGATACCGGTGTTGCCATGGAAGGAGGCGACTGCGCGCTTGGCTGCTGAAGCTGTAAGAGGAGGGCATGCAAGCCACGTAATCCGTTGAGAAAGTGGTGATGGCAGTGATGGTGGGCTGCTTGTGCATGAAGGGGGTGCTCTACCAAGTGTAACTCCTAGCACGGGTGAGACGGATTGGCTCACCGCACACCGTCGCTTTGGCCACGTGGCGTTACATCAGTTACAACAGCTGTTTAAGGAGGAAAGAGTCAAGGGGCTGAGGATAAAAAAATAGCCCAAGGAGGTGGGCTCTTGTGAGACTTGCTTGACCAGCAAGTTCTCACGGTTCCCCTTCCATTCGGCGATGGGGGAGTCAAGTGACCCGGTGGAACTCGTGCATGTGGATCTTGTGGGGCCCATGAAGGTGAAGAGAGATGGTGGGGCCCTGTATTCCATGACTATGGTGGATGATTATACAAGGCTCACCTGATCTTTTCCACTTGTAAAGAAGAGTGATGCTGCAAGGATCATCATTGAAGAGTGGCTGCCCATGGTGGAGTGAGAGAGCGGCAAGCGGGTGAAAGTGATTCGTAGCGACCGTGGTGGGGAGATTTTGGGAGCGGAGTTCCGGAGCTGGTTGAAGCGGCACGGCATCAAGCAGCAGCTCACCACGACATACACCCCTTAGTCCAACGGCGTGGCAGAGAGAGCGAACTGGACCATCATAGAGGGCGGGAGAACGATATCGGTGGACTCGGGTCTACCCTTGCGGTTCTGGCCCCTCGCTATTTGTCATGATATCGTCATCAAGTACCGAGTGTTGACTCATGTGGGAGGTCAGCATTGGGTCCCTATGGAAAAGTGGAGTGGCAAGAAACCCCTGGTGGACATGCTTCGTGTCTTCGGGTGCATGAGGCTCGTGCATGTCCCTAAGGAGAAGCGTGACAAGCTTCAAGCGGCGGCGGTGTGGGCTGTTTATTTGGGTCTTGCACGGGGGAGCAAAGACTGGCTTATGTGGGACCCAAAATCCAACACCGTCTTCACCACCAGAGATGCCAAGTTTATGGAGGGGCTCATGTTCAAGGAGTGGTCGGAGCGGAGGAGGAGCAAAGTCACCATTTCGCTTGGAATAGAGGTGGGAGCGAACGACCCACTTCTCATTCCCATCAAGTTATCCCCATCTTCAGAGTTGACAGAGGTGTCGCATGACTTAAGAGGTGCTGAAAGAGAAGCAGAAGATGTGGAAAGAGTACTGCAGCAAGGGGAGGCCCCTGTAGCTAAGAGAGGTGATACCGAGGAGGTGTAGCAGTCTACACCATCCCCTAAATTTCCACCAAGGCGCACAACCCAAGGGAAGAGTGACGCTGTCCGTGGTTGAGCCAAGAAAAGAGCAGCCAAGAAGAGGCCCAAGAGAGCTGCCCACCCAAGGGATTTCCTCTCAAGTATGAAAGGCTTGGGGTAGACATGAGCACAAGGGCGAACACCTGTTCGGTTCGCCTCGAACAGGTTTGTTTTTTTTGCTTAAATTGTTCGCCGAACAGTGTTCGATGTTCGCTCGAACACGTTCGTGTTCGGGCCGTTGCTGCAATTTGCCCCGCGACGAGCACGAACGTGTTCGATGTTCGCCCGAACATGCCTTCACAGGCGAACGGCGAACACGTGTTTTTGCTTAAAGTGTTCGCCGAACCGAACAGTGTTTGGTTCGGCAAACGGATGTGTTCGTCTAGGGGCGAACACGAACATGTTCGTGTTCGCCCCTTGCTCATCTCTAGCTTGGGGTTCCCAAGGCATTGCTGGTCGAGGAGGAGAAAGATGAGGAGGAAAAAAAAGTCGAAAAAGAGATGGAGCAGATTTGTTGCTTTGGCGTCAACTTACCTCTTGAGCCGTCGTCAACTTACCTCTTTTGCGTTGGACTGCACGTGGGTGTTACGTGTGAAGACCGATGCGGAGGGGAGGTTGGAGAGGCGCAAGACAATGCTTGTGATCAAAGTCTTACAGCAGATAGAGAGGATTGACTTCCAAGAGGTGTTTGCTCCTGTTGCCAAGGCTCCTACGCTCCGGGTCTGGCTGGAAGGTGGAGCAAATAGATGTGAATACGGCGCTCTTCCATGGCGTGGTAGATGAAGAGATCTACATGAAGCAGCCAGAAAGGTATGATGATGGGAGCGGATGTGTTTGCAGGCTCAACAAGGCCATCTATGGCCTCAAACAAGCTCCAAGTTGCCGGTATGCAAGGCTGGTGGAGGCGTTGGAGGCTCTTGGCTTCAAAGTTAGCGGGTGCGACGAGAGTCTCTTCATGACCGAAGGGGAAGAGGACAAAGTATTTCTCCTTGTCTACGTCGATGACATCCTCCTCTTCTCTCCAATCCTGGAGAGGATCAAGGAGGTGCATAGGAAGCTGAAAGAGACATTTCAATGCAAAGCCCTTGGACCAGTGGGGTATTACCTTGGTCTTCACGTGGAGCGGGACGAGGTGAAAGAATGGTTGAGGCTTCACCAACACAAGTACCTTGCAGCCATGGGGGAGAAGTATGGGCTGGAAGAAAAGAGAAGTGTGAAGACTCCTCTACCCTCAGGGTTTCAGCTGCACCTTGATGAAGAGGAGGGTGACGTGTTGGAGTACGAGTTGCAGCGTCGGTTCCAGTCAATGGTGGAGAGCTTGATGTACGCTTCGGTCAACACTCGCACCGACATTGCGTTTTCAGTTTCACAACTCGCTCGTGTGGTGTCTAGGCCCCCTCAAGAGCACCTGGATGCAGCAGAGAGGCTGGTGAGGTACTGCATGGCAACCTTAAGGGTGGGGCTGCAATATTCAGTGCATGGGCAGCTGAAGCAAAAAAAATGGAGGAGGTGAGCACAAAAACTGGTGCACCTGCAAGGCGTGGGCACTTGTACCTCTCGTGTTTCACCGATGCTACCTGGGCAAGTGACATCAGTGATGCTACATCCCATGGTGGCTATATATGCTGTGTTGGACAGAGTCCAGTGAGCTGAAAGTCTAAGAAGCAAGGAGAGATAGCTCACTCATCAACGGAGAGCGAGTACATGGCGTTGTTTCATGGAATGAAAGAGGTGGTTTGGATGAGGAGGTTGCTTGAGGAGTTGGGGCAAGAGCAAGAGGGTCCTACACATGTGTTTTGTGATAGCGAAGGAGCAATTGCAATGGCGCGTAATGCTGTGCTCCATGGGCTGAACAAGCACATGCATATCAAGTGGCATTGGGTGAGGAAGGAGGTGAAGAAATGCACCATCTTCTTGCACTACATCAACACTACCAAGCAACCTGCAAATTTCTTGACTAAGCAGCTTGCAGAGCATCAGCATTGGAGCTGTGCCACCTTGTGTGGCATGTCTTTCAATTAAAGGAGGCAGCTTCAAAAATCAACTAAGGGATGAATGAGAGCACGATGAGGAGTTTTTTGTGCCAAAACATTATAGTGTCACGGTCATCGCACTCTCATTCCGCCAACAAGCCTGCTCAGCCTCTGGAATTTTGTGGGGAGGTGCTTCAACATGTGTTCTTCAGACCCTCAAAATTTCAGAATTTTTGAAGCAGTTTACAAGGCATGGAAACAAATTTGGTTTCAAGACTTATGGCATCTCGGAAGTGTGTGTTACTCTATGTTGGTAACACCCGAGTTCACCATTTCGACTGCTGACTCATCTACCAAGCTCTGATTGGTCTGAAAATCGATGTGGCAGTCCTTTGTCGTGTTGTTCAGGTGGTCACCGAGTTTCAGGACAACCCAGCATCGGAGCAGCACGTGAAAGTTGTCGAAAGTTACTGTTCCGTAGTCATGGTGCACTGTTGGCAGCATTTCCCTTGCCACCCTTTCATTGTTGTCATGCCAATGGTGCAGGGACAGAGAATGAGACAAAAAATACAAGTGGTCAAGTGGGACTCTACCACCCTTCTTTTGAGAAGTGTGGTCTTCTTGGAAGCAGTTTGCAAGAGGGTGCAAGTGGAAAAACAAGCTGACTCATGATTGGCTTGACTCACTATTGGTAGCCTTGAGTACAGCTCTGAACATCCAAGTGTGATTGACTTTGCTGACCTAGCTATGAAGTTTTCCATCTATCTCTAGCCTTTTTCCCTTATGACTCAATCTTCTCTGAGTTCCCAAGATGGTCCCAACCACTTAAGAGTCCCCTAGGCAATGTTGTACTAACCTCTTCTTTGCATCAATGAAATTACACGTTTTCAGCCGAGCTTCCTTTTTCGTTCACTGCGTAGCGCATACACCTCTGATGAAAGCAAGCAATATACCGTTGGAAAGCAGACACCTGAAGTTAACGTCAGTCCAAGTTTCAGCCTCGTATGTTATCGGAGCTGATCGTGACGGCGTTTTGAACAGAGGCGGTTCGAAGTCATCAGATTCTGCTTAGGCGGTTTCATGAGCTTCCGCGACCCCTAAGTGGACTCTAGACTATAACATCTATCCCCTCGACTCCCCATCAATTCCAATGCAGCAAAATAGGGGGGCACGGAACGGACCTCACATACCCATCAGCAGCAGGCCGGCCACCATGTGACATGTGGCAGGACACCTCCTCCGAGTTCTTGCAAGACCTGCCCTTCCTGCCCTCGGTCCCTCCTTCCTTCCAATGCAGCAAAATAGGCGGCACGGACCTCACGTGCCCGTCAGCAGCAGGGCGGCCCCCATGCGGCGTGTGGCAAACCCCCTCCTGTACTCGCCATTGTCTTGCCTCCCTGCCTGATTTTCCCCCTCTATCCCCTCGGCTCCCCATCAATTCCAATGCAGCAAAATAGGAGGCACGGACCTCACATGCCCGTCAGCAGCAGGGCACCCTCCATGCGGCATGTGGCAGGATGCCTCCTCTGAGTTCTGCAAGACCCACACCCTATTCAATAAACCCTGAACCCTGTGCTCTGAACCCCCTATTCACACCGCAGCAAAATAGGAGGCACAGGCATCACATGCCCCTCAGCAGCAGGCCGGCCGCCATGCGGGGTGTGGCAGGACGCCTCCTCTGAGTTCTGCAAGACCTGCCCTGCCTTCTGCGCCAACTGCTCCACTGCTGCCCTGCCACCCAAGCCAGGTAAACAAGGTGACATGGTCACATGGTAACAAAGTAACAAGGTCAATAACCAGCCGGCTGGTCACTGTGTGGCATTGCAGACCCCCTCCTCTGAGTTCTGCAAGACCTGCCCTGCCTTCTGTGTCAACTGCTCCACTGCTGCCCTGCCACCTAAACCAGGTAAACAAGGTGACATATTATTCACATGGTAACCAGGTAACAAGGTCAATAGCCAGCAGGTCAACCACCGTGTGGCGTGTGGCAGGACGCCTCCTCTGAGTTCTGCAAGACCTGCCCTGCCTTCTGTGCCAACTGCTCCTCTGCTGCCCTGCCACCCAAGCCAGGTAACAGCGTAACTAGGTAACAAGGTAGGTACTTCGTAGGTAGTGACCAGCAGGCCACCCACCAATTGGCGTGTGGCAGAGGCAGGCAGACCCCCTCCTCTCTCTTCTTCCTTGCCCCGCCTTCTGTGCCAACCAATTGCTCCACTGCTGCACTACCACCACCACCCATGCCAGGTAACGTTGTAACAAGGTAACAGGGTGGGTATTTGGTGGTACAGCAGGCGGCCTATTAATTGCGTGTGGCAGAGGCAGACCCATTCCTCCAGATTATGCCTCACCTGCCCCGCCTTCTGCGCCAAGTGCTCCACTGCTACCCCTGCCACCTAAGCAAGGTAACAAGTGATGCTTGGTAGCAAAGTAGGTACTGTGCCGCATTCTGCACCAGCTGCTCCACTGCTGCCCTGCCACCTAAGCAAGGTACTTTCAGTCTCTTGCCTCAACAACATTGGTGCTAGCCGACACCTCGTATCAAACGCATTCTGTTTCTCTGGGATCAGACAGCACAGCACAGCACAGCACAGCACACCACACCACACCACAACACACCACAGCACACCACACCACAGCACACCACACCACAGCACACCACACCACACCACAACACACCACAGCACAGCACACCACAGCACAGGATTCTATGAGAGCTCGTATCACTATGTAATGACGAGTATACCATTGTCGAATGGACAGGTTATTTGACTCGCAATGAGAGATTTTTGTCTGTGACCATCGTCATTAGCTCACGACTACGTAGAAGCTGCTTCTGGCATAGCTAGATTTTTAGTGGCGATCAGGCATTGTTCGAACGGTTTATTACTGTGACTCGTGCCATGGCGTTGCACAGTCTTTCGCGGAGCTCGCTACCACTCGCGTCGAAGCCTGTCATTGACATTCTGAGATGCCTCGCTTACCCACTGCTGTCCCACGCTCTCACCCACGTATCATCGATCTCCGCGACAACAGCACAGGACGACCAACGAAATGCGAGGGGTCCTAGAACAATCACTGATCGCGATCAAAGACTGGCACTATCTGCGCTACGTGATGCAACCACAGCTGGCATGGCCACTCTTGTTTCGGAAATAATTCACGAAGCTGGACCAGCGGACCGCGAGCCGAGAGGCGAAACCCATGAAGTCGGAACACCGCCGTTCAAGAAGCCTACACGTGAGCCAGTAGGATTGGCGGGAGAGGGTCTTGGCTCGAAAACTATCGTCGCGAATCCGCCTACTCGGTCGTTCTCGGTTGTTGCTGATTCCGTTATCAAATGCTTCTCAGGATCGCGTGGGCACTATATGTACCATCAAGACGATCAATATCAGCAACAGAAGTACAGCCACCACCACTTCTACCAATCTCGACAGTACCAACAACGTCAAGCCTTGGGAGTACCGGCAGCAGCCGCACCAAGGCCAGCAGCAGCAGCTGTTTCTGGAATTCGGCGTTTCTCCCTGCCGTACCCGCGAGGTCCGGGCGGCTGGTCGCAGAACAAAGCGTCGGCGTTTAACAAAGCGTCGTTCTACGACGTGACGGTGGAGAAATACGCGGCGCTGCCGATGACGGCGACGACGATGCAGCACATGATGCAGTTCGGAGAGCAGGTTCTTAAGGACCCCTCCTATCTCCTTCGCCAGGCCAGGTAACATTCGTCCCCCCTCCACACATCCACCCTACCCCCAACCCCCCCTTTTCCCCCTTACGCAAGGCTCAGCTGATGACAGCGACGACGATGCAGCACATGATGCAGTTCAGGGAGCAGGTTCTCAAAGACCCCTCCTACCTGCTCCGCCAGGCCAGGTAAACACTCCCTCGAGGCAACCACCCCCCCCCCCCCCCCCCCCCCCCCCCTCTCATCCCCAATTCCTTGGTCAAGGCTCACCCAATGGCAGCAATGACAGGCGATGCAGCACATGATGCAGTTCGGCGAGCAGGTTCTCAAAGACCCCTCCTACCTGCTCCGCCAAGCCAGGTAACCCCTGCTCCCCCTCAGCACATCATATCTGCCCAGAGACAACCACCACATCTCCCACCCCCACTCCCTTACTCAAGGCTCAGGCGTATCCATCGAGAGCAGCCTACCTTTCACTGGATAAGTAAACAGCGTTCTTTTGCCCTCTTCCCTTATTCCTCCAGGTCTGTGCACCGCGAGCTGCCAATCCCCCTGGTCAAGCAAGGACCGCCCCTTTGCCTATCCTTCCCCGGCCAAGCAATAAGTGCTCCTTTTGCTGTTGTTGTTGTTGTTGTTGTTGTTTTTTTTTTTTTTTTTTTTTTTTGTTTATGTGTGTGTTTGTTTTTTTGTTTGTTTGATGGTTTGTTTTTGGGCTGTCATTCTCCAGGTTTGTGCACCGCGAGCTGCCCATCAGGCTGGCCAAGCGCCTCATGGACCTGCAGTTCCTGCCATACATTGTCGTCACCAACCCGCACATCAAGCAGGTGCCACGTCAGCATTTCGTAGATGCCACGTCAGCATGGGAAGGTGCCTCGTGAAAACGTCTTTGCCATGCTCCTTGCTCAGGAAAACGCCTAGGTGTGTTTGACTGAGAAGCGTGGAAAGCAGCTGCTTGGTGCATCTCCTAGCGTCCTGTTGTGATGATTTATAACATTTTTAGGGAAAGTTTATGGGTCCAGCTGTGCATAAACCATGTATTCTATATCCCTGTACATGCATCCTTGTAAGCAACATTGAAACCCTGTCCTCTGCATAAACCTTTTCTCCTCCCTTCTCTTCTTCTCTTCCTTATCTTCTTCCCTCTCCTCTCCTCTCCACTCCTCACAACTCCCCTTCCTCCCTTTTCCTCTACCCCCCCTCTCCTCTCTTCGCCTCTCCCCACTTCTCTCGTCAAACTCTCTTCTCCGCCTCTCCTCTCCTCTCCCCTTCTCTCCACGGCCCTCTCATTCCCTCTATCTCATAACTCCAGGTCTATGACTCGTACCGCAGGGCGCTAGACTTGCTGGTTGCATTTCCCGAGGTGCGGACGCATGAGGACAACGAGAAGTTCACAGAGCTGCTGGCGCTGGTGAGGGATGGGTGATGGAGGGTGGCAGAGGGGTGATGGAGGGTGGCAGAGGGGTGATGGAGGGTGGCAGAGGGGTGATGGAGGGTGGCAGAGGGGTGATGGAGGGTGGCAGAGGGGTGATGGGAAAGTGGCAGAGGGGTGATGGGAGAGTGGCAGAGGGGTGATGGAGGGTGGCAGAGGGGTGATGGGAGAGTGGCAGAGGGGTGATGGAGGGTGGCAGAGGGGTGATGGGAGAGTGGCAGAGGGGTGATGGAGGGTGGCAGAGGGGCGATGGGAAAGTGAAGGGAGGTGTATTTGCAGGGCCCACTTCTTCTGACGTGTGGACGTGTGAGGACAATGAGAAGTTCACGGAGCTGCTGGCGGTGGTGAGTGGTAAGTCATGAGTGAGGTTCAATGGTAAGCATTGGGCGATGGGGGTGGGTGATGGGGGATGGATGATGGGGTGTGGTTGAGCGATGGGGATTGGGTGGTGGGACGTGGGTGGTGGGGGCTAAGAGAGCGATCAGCTCTTTTGACCGTCTCTCCGCCAAGATTTTTCCTTCCCTTTGTCCGCCTCTTTCTTAACTGGTGGAGGAGCGCACGCCGCTGCTAGGCGTGCTGGCCCTTGGAATGAGAGAGTGGTATCTTCTGTCCTCAACTGGTGGAGGAGCATAACCCATCTCCTTCTCCTCCCTCTTGCCCTGAGCAGTTGGTGGAGGAGCACACACCCCTTATAGGCGTGCTGGCCCGAGGTGTGAGGGAGTGCTCCATTCGGCCGCTGGTGGGGCGAGAGCTCAACCTCGACAGCTTCCTCGATAACATGTGTGTGCCTAGATCAGATCTGATCCGATATGAAATGATCATATTCTCGATCGTCCAGCTGGGATGCTCATTTGCATGGTAGATAGATGGAACTTTGCTGTTCTTGCATGCTGCAGTGTAACTTGTACATGTTAATTGCTGTGTTTGCAGACTGTCTTCCTTTGTGTCTGTCTTTGCAGGTTGCGGTCTCGTATCAGCAGAAGGGTGGTGGCTGAGCAGCACATCGCCTTGCAGCAGAAGAGACCAGGGTACATCGGTGTTATCTGCACCAACGTGAGTGAGCAGTGCTTGTGCCTGTCTTGAGTGGATTTGGAGTAGGAAACAGAACGCACTCCGAGGGAGGGTGGTGGCAGAGCAGCACATCGCCCTGCGGCAGTAGAAACCAGGGTATATCGGTGTCATCTGCACTAATGTGAGTGAGTGGGGGGCCTTGTGTTGACCCACACTGTATCTGCACAGAAGTTCAGTGAGTGTTGGTGGCAGAACAGCATATGGCATTGCAGCAGAAGAGACCAGGGTACATCGGGGTTATCTGCACCAACGTGAGTGAGTGTGCTTGTTGTGGCTCACCCTTCGTTTGTACCTATCACTCATGTGACCCGTCTCTCACCTTTACCTTCAGCTGTGAGCATGAAAGGTGAAGGAGTTTTAGAAAGTCGCAATATCCCTTCTCCCTGAGGTTGTAAGCTTGCGGGGTGACTCTTGAATTGACTTGACGGCAAGGAACGCTAAGCTTCGAAGCCTTCAGTTGTCGGCATGGGTGGTGGGATGCACTGGATGTGTGCACTCGAGCGTTTGGCTGCTGCCTTTTCCTTGAATCAGTACCCTTCCTCGTCCTACTCCGTCTCCTCCTCATCACCGTCTTCAGATGTCAGCGCGGGAGGTGGTGGAGGACGCAGTGGAGGGGGCGACTGACATGTGCACGAGGACGTTTGGCTGTTACCTTTCCCTTATGTCTGTATCATCCCCTTTCCACTCCCATCTCTCGTCATCATCATGATGGTCTGTAGATGTCAGCACGAGAGGTGGTAGAGGATGCAGTGGAAGAAGCAACTGACATGTGCACGAGGACGCTTGGCTGTTGCCCTTCCCTTACGTCTTTACCATTTTCCCCATCCCACTCCCATCTCTCTGAATCATTCTTCAGATGTCAGTGCGGGAGGTGGTGGAGGATGCAGTGGAAGAAGCAACTGACATGTGCACGAGGACGTTTGGCTGCTGCCCTGAGTTCATGCTCACAGGGGATCTCAACACCTCATTTGCGTACATACCCTCACACCTTCACTACATGCTCTTTGAGATACTCAAGGTAAGCCTTCTCTATTGTAAACTGTTCGGTTGGCTGGTGCCCTGAGTTCGTGCTCACAGGGGATCTCAACACCTCATTTGCGTACATACCCTCATACCTGCACCACATGCTCTTTGAGATTCTCAAGGTGAGCAATGTCTGTACCCGTTATAAGCTCTTCCCTGAGTTCATGCTCACAGGGGACCTCAACACCTCCTTCGCCTACATCCCCTCGCACCTCCACTACATGCTCTTTGAGATCCTCAAGGAAGTAAGGGATTGTTTGTACTCGTGATCCTCAAGGAAGTAAGGGATTGTTTGTACTCGTGATCCTCAAGGAAGTAAGGGATTGTTTGTACTCGTGATCCTCAAGGAAGTAAGGGATTGTTTGTACTCGTGATCCTCAAGGAAGTAAGGGATTGTTTGTACTCGTGATCCTCAAGGAAGTAAGGGATTGTTTGTACTCGTGATCCTCAAGGAAGTAAGGGATTGTTTGTACTCGTGATCCTCAAGGAAGTAAGGGATTGTTTGTACTCGTGATCCTCAAGGAAGTAAGGGATTGTTTGTACTCGTGATCCTCAAGGAAGTAAGGGATTGTTTGTACTCGTGACCCTCAACCACCCCACACACAAAACACATTTCCCTTACATCCTTCCACCCCTCCATCCAATCAGAACGCGTCACGAGCGATAGTGGAGCATCACACAGACCAATCAGGGGATTCGATGCCCTCCTCTTCAACCAAGTTCCCCCCTGTTATGGTCACAGTCTGCTCGGGATCGAACGAGGTCACAATCAAGGTGAGTCTGTACTCGTCTGCTGTAGGTGAGATCATTTAGGAGTGGCGTGCTGCTTTGGTTGAGCCAGCTTCTCTTCGAGGTATGCCCGCAACTTCCAAACTTCTATCCATCCATCCACCCACCCACCCATCCATCCGCCCATCCACCCACCCACCCACCCATCCACCCACCCACCCACCCATCCACCCACCCACCCACCCACCCATCCGTCCATCCATCCATCCATCCATCCATCCATCCATCCATCCATCCATCCATCCATCCATCCATCCATCCATCCATCCATCCATCCATCCATCCATCCATCCATCCATCCATCCATCCATCCATCCATCCATCCATCCATCCATCCATCCATCCATCCATCCATCCATCCATCTCCTCCATTGCCCATGCCGTCACCCATCCCATCCCCAGGTGTCTGATTTAGGAGGAGGAATTCCGGAGAAGCTTCAAGCCAAGGTGAGACGACAGAAAGAGGCAGGAAAGGGAGGGAGGCACGAATGGGGAGGAAAGGAGAGGGAGTGGGGGGAGGAGCGAGGGTGGGAAGGAAGGAGGGGAGAGGGGGGATGAGGGGGGGAGGGTCGGAGGGGAGTGTAATTGCATGTTTTTTTCCAAAGACCCCCTTCCAAGACACACTCAATATTGCACCCGTCTTTCTTATCACCAGGTGTCAGGTGTGTGTGTCGTTCTTGTTCATCCTTTTTTATTTGTCGGAAAATCGGTGTCTGGTGTATGTGTCTCTCCTGAACATCCATCTTCAGGTGTAGCACTTTGGATACTTGTGTGTGGAGGGTGGTGGCATTAATGATACCTACCCCAGCCGTATTGCCTTCCTCCTGCTTTAAATTTTCCCCTTCCTCACCCCGCCTCCCTCTTGTTCACCCATCCCCAGGTTTGGCGTTATGGGTACTCTTCCGTGGAGGGTGACGTCAGCACCTCTAGCACGCTGAGGTCAGCAGGTAAGCCTTGTGGTGTGGCCGGGTAGTCATAGGGCGGGGTAGTCATAGGGCGGGGTAGTCATAAGGCGGGGTAGTTATAGGGCGGGGTAGTCATAGGGCGGGGTAGTCATAGGGCCGGGTAGTCATAGGGCCAGGTAGTCAGTGACCTCAAGCCCTGTGACCTCCTCAACCCTCCAACCAACCCCTTTGCTCCCCAACCAGCCGGTGGCCCTGTGGATTCTCAAGGGACGCCCATGGCTGGGCTGGGACTTGGGTTGCTAGTTTGTCAGTCACCTCCGTACGCCACCAGGCAATGCCCCGGTCCCTACCAACCAGCCAATCAATCAACCCCTTTGCTCTTTCAACAGCTGGTGGTCCTTTGGACTCCCAAGGGACGCCCATGGCAGGGCTGGAATTCGGGCTGCTGGTTTGCCAATGAATCTCAGCTTATGAATCACCCGATCCGATCCTGCATTCTCATCAACCCCTTCTCCTTAAACAGCTGGCGGCCCTGTGGACTCTCAAGGCACGCCCATGGCAGGGATGGGATTCGGGCCGCTTGTTTGTCTTGTTTGTCAGTGACCTCGTAAATCTGCCGTCCAACCCCCCTTCTTCCCCAACCAGCTGGTGGTCCGGTGGACTCCCAAGGGACGCCCATGGGGGGGCTGGGATTCAAGCTGCTTGTTTGTCAGTGACCTCCTAAATCTGCCATCCCAACCCCCTTTCTCCCCAACCAGCCGGCAGCCCTGTGGACTCCCAAGGGACGCCCATGGCGGGGCTGGGATTCGGGCTGCCTTACTCGCGGTTGCTGGCACAGTACCTTGGCGGCAATATCGAGGTGTGCATTGCGGTAAAGGGGTGTGGACAACATCATTGAGGTGTGCGTGGCAGTGCTGCAGCACTGAGGTAGTCCAGGTGGCAACGTGGAGTGGAACGTGAACTGCGGGTAAAGTGATCATCATCATCAGTAACATGTATGTGAACATCATTGCTTGCGTTTCTTGCACCATCATTATCCCCCTTCAAGTCTGTTATTTTCATCTTGCCCTGCTCCTCGGCCACACTTTCTTGCGACCCTTAGTATTGAGTTTTGAGACGTCTCAATCTCTGAATTGATATCCAGACATTAAGTGCCCGTAGCCTTCAATGTTTGCTTCATGCTCACATTTACCCTCACATCACCCCAGATGGTGAGCATTCCAGGCTACGGCACAGATGTTTATGTGAGGGTGCGGCGGGTATTTGACCAGACAGAAGCCGTGGAGATACCGTATGAACATAAGATGTACATCTGATGCCCTGTCTCAGGCCACCCTTATCACTACATGCGATAACACAATGATGCCTGTGCAAGCATGAAACGTGTAACTACACAGAAAAGTGTTTTGATTGTCGTAATTGGTGTTAAGTTTTTATCACGTGAATGATAAAAATGCTGCAAGATGCGATGAGACTGCATGCTAAGTCTTCAAGCTCTGATAGCAATTAATATCTACCATTTTGTTCTGCATTTCATGCAGCATGGAAGAGCCTAATCACGTTTTGCGTGTCTATTGGGCAATACCGTTGTCGCGGATATCCGAGTGGCGCGTACACGAGCAGAATCTGTTGACCCACTAATTTATTGCCATTTCAGCTGGACTGGTCAGCCCCCCGATCGGTCGTACTTGTACGATGACCTTGAATAATTACTGAGACGTATCCAAAGAATAATCATACCGGTTAAGGGACACCTCTGAAGCTGAATCGTTCTTCTTATAGTGGGCTCTCCTGTGAATTTGAGCTCTGCCTGGAGATCGTACGCGCTCCATTCTGAGTGTGCGACGACGTTTCAGAACAGGCCCTTCAGCGGACAGCGACCTCAAAATGTACACCTGTGCAGAAACGGGAAACTCCCGAACCGCGGCGTGGCCATCCATGACAGACCACCGCCCACGAGTTTCCGCGGGCGTGCTGTTTGCGCACTCCTCCCCCTCGCATTCCCGCGTCGCCAGAAGTGGAAACTTATGGCGAAATGTTGAATGATCGGCTTCATCCTAGTCAGCTGCATGATTGAGTCCACCTGGAGACTGACTCGACCCGTGCACCAATCGCACCCTTTTGGGTCATGTCAACTCGTACCATGCGAAACTAGAACCTTGGGAGTTCCTTCCACCGCCATTGACGAAATGCTTCATTCAAAGGTTATTCCAGCCTGTTTCTCCCTTCTCATCCGACCAGCTAACCTCCATCCATCCCCTCTTACCGAATTCATTTCTTTCTCTTTGACGATCTTTCGCATTTTCCAGTTGAGACAGTTCTTACCTCACTCACAACTCAGGACAGGAGAGTGTTTCCAGACCGCTACGCCAGTAGATAGCGGCGCTGCCTTGCCACCACGTCATTCCCGTCAGAAAAGCCTCCCCTCTCGAACTGTTCAAGAGACAAGCTTGGCTCGTACAGTACTGTACAACAGAAGGACCGCGACCGCGAGGCAGACATCAACGTGGGTGAGAGAGGAAAGAGCACGGAACACAGGACGTGAAACCGCCAGCTTTGCGTAAGACTAGACTTTATATCCGCTCCTTGGAATAAAGATCGGAAGAAACAGCAATATATTTTACGTCGAAAGTCGAGACCTCTAGCTCGCTGCCATTAAAGATAAAAAGGCGCAATTGGTGCGTCTTCTCTTTGGCTTTATATCCTACTCTTTTTCTCTCCCGGCACGTCGTATGTGTTGCCTCAGTCGTGCCCTGGAGCACCAGTAGGAACGGCTTATCCGCATTGCCTCGAGCCTCCGCTTTCGCGGAATCCCACTTCACAGATAGAGCGCTTAGACGCCTTAAAGTAGCGAACGTTGGAGATAAAAGGCAACCATAGCTGACCATAGGGGAACTTCCAAACCGCACTCACTCAACCATCCAATCAAAAAATCAAATCAAAGAAAGTTGAATAGTACCGCCTACTTCGTCCCTGATCCTGCAATCCGCGGGGGGGAATCCTGTTCTGACACATCTTCGCAACACTTCGCATTTGGCTGCAGCAGCCATGAGTCACGACATGAGCGCCATGGGTCACGACATGAGCTCCATGGGAGGTTCCGCATCCGGCGGAGCGGATACCTCGAGCCCTAGCTACGACCCGGATTCCCCTCCCACCAGCAGCAGCAGCGCATCTGGCGGAAGCATGTCGATGATGATGATGCAGATGTGGTTCTATTGGGGTCCGAACGTGGTGATTCTGTTCGAGAATTGGAAGACGAGCAACTGGGGGTTCTACCTGCTCGCGTGCTTCCTCGTTGTTGTCTTCTGCGTGCTCCACGAGTACCTCACGTCGTTTCGCTTGAAGCTCTCCGCCACTCGCCGATGCCGTGTCAAAGACGCCGAGCAAGGGTAAGCCACGCTGATGTGATTCCCCTCCTCCCACCTCCCTCCTCTCCTCCCATCCTCCGGCCACCATTCCCCTCCGCCTACCCCCACCCCCGCCCCTCTCTCCCCATTCCCCCCCTCCCGCCCTCCCGCTCTCCCCCCGCCACGACTCTTTTTACCATTTCCATCCTCTTCGCTTCAATTACAGTCCTCGCTGCGTCTCATTGCCTTTTTTGTATCGGCCCCTCGCACTCCTCAGTCGTCATTGCTCACTCTCTACTGCTCACTCCCCCTTGCCCACTCCGTCTTTCTCTCTCTACTTACCTCACCCGTTATGGCTCCATCTCACTCACCCCGCATCGTCCACACCACCAGTCTTTCTTACTACAGTCACTACCACTTTCGTTTGCTACACTTACGCTCTGCCCCCCATCAATTTTCTTGCTACCACCCTCCTCTCCCCCTATCCTCTTTCCTCCCTCTCCCTCATCCCTCAACCCCATCCCTCTCCCTTCTCCTTCTTCCCTCACCCTCCTTCTCCCTCCACCCTCATCCCCCCCACTCCCAGTGATGATTTCACCAATGTCGCCAGCAGCAAGAGCGCCTGCCACTGGCGGCCTCTCCTCGAGCAGAATATGAGCTTTATGGGTCCATCCTTCTCCCTCCACCCTCATCCCCCTCCCTCGCAGTGAGGACTTCACCAACGTCGCCAGCAAAAACAAGGCCTGCCACTGGCGGCCTCTCCTGGACCGCCTGGCAGTGACGGGCATATACGCGCTCAACCTCATCTTCAGCTATGCCATCATGCTCATCATCATGAGCTTTAACATTGGCCTCTTTATCGCGGTCGTTCTCGGCCTCACTATTGGGTTCTTCTTTTTCGGAGCCAAGAGGCGGAAGAACTCGTCGGAACGGCCGATTGTTGAGGAGGCACAGGAAGAGAATTGCTGTGCGGGTACTTCTGATGCGTGCTGCGCCGCTCCATAAAGGGGATGTTTTGGAGAGAGGTTTCTGGCGTAGAATGGCTTTGAGAGTAGGCAGGGAAAAGAGCAGAGGAAATCGTGGCGAGGTGCAAGGCATCTCGCCATAGCTGTTCTTGAGAGATGCTGCTGCTTTTATTCTAACTCTTTTACTGGGTTGCTCCATACAGGGGGAATAGGAAGCTGGCACTGTGTAACTAGAGAGATGGGACATGGAGCATAACAGTTTGAGCAGGAAGAAAGGCCATGGAACACCAAGTGATGTTGTGGATGCAGGGGTGGGCCACAGCAACCAGGGTGCGTTGTGTTCCCTATGCTTTGTTGTGTGATATGACATGTGTAGCTCGATTGTTTTGTAAATTGCTGAATACAAATGGAAGTTTCATAGTTGCCTGCTGCTAGAGCTACGTGGGTACCAGGGTCGTCGCTAGCAGAAATTTTTGGTCTGTTTGTCTTATATTATGCCTGATTGATTAGGTTTCATCTGATTTTCCAGAAATTAGTCTGTAATATCTGATGTATCAATAGATTTTGAAAATGTATTTGACGGATCAGACATGTTTTCCATGTTCTACTGATCCATCAGAAGCACTTTCCGGTTTCGTCTGATACCGGATCTTTCTTCCCCTAGGCGTGATTCACGCGTGAATAAGGCGTGGGGGGTGTGTCTCCCCTTGATTACCGGAATGTATGCATTATACATTTCGCGGCCAGTCCTCCCACGTGTATCTTTCGCCAGCACTGCAAAAAGATGCTGCTGCAACAGGTACACATGGTGAACTCACATGGTGTCTGCTGTTAAACTCTTAGGCAAGGGATGATTGCAACTATTGAGAGTGTTGGTACAAAAGGAAAACTAAAGGGTTGTACCCCACAGTGAATACCCCACTAAAGAATACCTAAACTATAACATATAAACATATGTTTGACACACCCCCATAGGCAAAGTGGGGGAGAACAGAGGGTCACAAGGCCAGACAGGAAGTGCAAAACAAGCTCAGGGTGGATCACAACATCACCACGCAGTCTGAGCACAAGCAAAAGGCCAAAAGGCCAGTTCACATGCAGAGATATATGTGTAACAACAACAGCACAGTGATATCCACCTACAAGAGCAAGCATGCAGGTATACATATAGATCACAGTACAAACAAAGCCTACAGCAAGTGAGGAAGTGTGGGAACAAGGCCTAACAAAGTGCAGAAACGCTGATGATCACCAGGCGGAAGCGCCTTGGTGAACATATCAGCAGTGTTGGCCCGAGTGGCCACGTAAGCAAGACGAAGCTGGCCACGCTGCTGCAGTTCTCGAGCAAGGAAATAACGTAGAGTGATGTGCTTCGTTCTGTGCTCCAGTCTGTGCTCCTGACACAAGGCAATGGCAGCCTTGTTGTCGACGTACAGAACTGGAGGAGAACGAGGACGCTCTCCCAAGTCGGTCAGCAAGTAGGTGAGCCAGCGTAGCTCGTGTGCAGCCATGGCTGTGGCGTAGATCTCGGCCTCACAGCTGGAGCCGAGGACTGAAGACGAACGTGTAGAACGCCAGGAAACTGAACCAGAACCAAGGCTGAAGGTGTAACCCTGTGACGACCGCTGCGTAGCCTAGTCGTCAACCCAAGAGGCGTCCGAGTGACCAGTGAGGACAACGTCACCCCGTCCTCCAAGCACGAGCCCCATGCCCGATGTACTGCACAAGTAGCGTAGTACCCTCTTAGCGGCATCCATGTGCACCTTTCGGTGCCGACCAGGAGCCACGAGCCAGAAGGCCAAGAGGGTACGCAAGGTCAGGGCTAGTGCAGGTCATCAGGTACATGAGGCAGCCCACTAGCTCTGGGTAAGGACCACTCGGCTCTACGGACTCGTCCGAAGGTAGAGCTGAGAGCGAGTGACCTGTAGCCAGAGGAGTGGCCTGTGCTGAGGACCAGGTGAAGCCGAAGCGCTGAAGGACCTGCTGCACCATGTGTGACTGAGTCAGTGTGATGGTGCGGCGTGCTCTGTCCCGGGTGATCTGCAAGCCAAGATAGCTGCGCAGGTCACCCAGGTCTGTGCACGTGTGTCTCTTCTGCAGCTCCGACTTCACCAGGGCGAGAGCCTCAGTGTCATCAGTGGCAAAGACCAAGTCGTAGACGTACACGAGGATGTAGAACGGCGGCAGCGAAGTGTCGGTGCGCAGAAACAGCGACGGGTCAGCAGTCGACGGAGCAAACCCAAGAGCCGCAAGTGTCGTCCTCAGTGTGTCGTGCCACTCACGTGGCGCCTGGCGGAGACCGTAGACCGGCCGGCGGAGGCTCCACTGGGTACCAGGAGGGAACGACCCAGTGAAGCCAGGAGGGCGGCGCAGCCATATCTCCTCGTGCAGGCTGCCCTGTAAGAAGGCTGTGCTGAAGTTAAGAGAGTGAAGCTCGTAATCACGCTGAGCGGCAACGTGTAGCAGCACCCGAAGAGTGGTCATCTTCGGGGTGGGGGAGAAGGTCTGGAGGAAGTCAACTCCCTCTCGCTGACTGAAGCCTCGAGCCACGTAACGAGCCTTGAAGACAGGCGGAGAACCTGGCAGCCGCTTCACCCTGAAAATCCACATGCCACTGACAATGTTCGCCCCAGGAGGGGGAACCTCGTCAACGTAGGTGCCTGTGGACTTCCAGGATGCCATCTCTGCGTCCATGGCTGTCTTCCACTGAGAGGAGTACTCACCCGCGATCGCCTCAGCGTAAGAGCGCGGGGTAGGGATGTCTGGTGCATCCGGGTCTCCCTCAGGGGCAAGCAGCATGGCCACAAGATGAGGCGCAGCGGCTGCAAGACACTCAAGGTTCTCCTACATGTCCTCAAGGACGTCCGTGCCAAGAGCACACTCACCCCCGACGGACGGAGGACAGACAGACTCAGACTCAGCAACAAGACTGGCGGCGTAGTCGAGACGACAGGCAGCAGCAAAGTCAACAAGCTCAGCGACTAAGGCAGACGCAGCAGCAGACTCAAACGACGGGTCAGTGACAGCAGTGGCAAGCAGACGCGTGACAGTAGAGTGCTCGGCACGAAACTGGTCAGACGCAGGGTCAGCAACGACAGGCAGAGAGGACGCAGGGGGAGACGGCAGAGGAACACGCGGCGGAGGAGAGGAAGGACGACGAACTACAAGGGGAGGGCCGGAGACAGCCGGCTGCCGCTGACGAGGAACACGACGACCGGAACGACCAGAACGGACAGGTGAGACAGGACGCGACGCAGGCTCACGACACTCAGCAAGGCCCTCAGTCTGCTCTGTGTACAGAGAAGGAGCAGGCAGCGGTGAGCCAGGCTGTAACGGAAGACCAGTAGACGAGGGAAGACTGAGAACCTGGCGAAGTGCAGAGTCAGGTGGTGGCTGAGACGACGGAGACGGCGGAGCAAAGAACAGGTGCGGCTGAGCAGTGCCACCAGCACCAGCAGCTCCAGCACCTCCAGCAGCTCCAGCACCTCCAGCAGCTCCAGCACCTCCAGCAGCCCTAGTACCCTCAGCAGCTCCAGCACCGCCAGTAGCTCCAGGACCCTCAGCAGGTCCAACACCTCCAGCAGCCCCAGTACCCTCAGCAGCTCCAGCACCGCCAGCACCTCCAGCAGCTCCAGTACCTCCAGCAGCTCCAGCACCCTCTGCAGCTCCAGTACCCTCAGTCACAACACCGCCAGCCCCAGCAGCTCCAGTACCCTCAGTACGAGCACCTCCGGGACCAGCGACACCAGCAGAAGAACCCCCAGCAGTAGAGCCCTGAGGTGCAGAAGCGCAACGCTGACGGCGACCGTACCAGTCGTGCAGCTGCTGGGAGGTGAGGGGCACACGCGGACGAAGACGGCTACTCCAAGGAGACCGCGTAAAAGTAGTCTCAGAAACCGCAGGCGACTCACCCCCAGACTCAGCACCCCCAGACGCAGCACCCCCAGACGCAGCACCTCCAGACGCAGCACCTCCAGACGCAGCACCCCCAGACGCAGCACCTCCTGGCTCCTCACGCGCAGGCTCAGCACCACCAGGCTCCACACGCTCAGCGCCCCCAGACTCAGCACCCCCAAGCTCCGCACCCCCAGGGACAGCACCACTCCCAGCAGGACCGGAGTCACCAGTGACCTCAATAGGCGCAGGCGCGGGGGGGTCTACCTGAGAGACACCTGAAGGAGCAGGACCTGGCGCGGGGAGGGGGTCTACCTGGGGGGGACCTGGGGCGAGAAAGAGCGGCGGGAGAGGGCGAGGAGCAGTGCGGTAGGGGAAGAGGCGGTAAAAGGGGACCGACTCGTCAAAAGTGACGTCCTGAGACGCAAAGACACGGCGCGAGGCGGGGTCGTAAAACTGCCAGCCAGGCGCGTCAGGGACAAAGCCAAGGAAGACGCAAGGAATGGCGCGAGGGGAGAGCTTGTCCGCGGTGGTATCGCGGACAAAGGCACGAGCACCCCAGACCCGGAAACGCGACGCATCGCCAACCTTCCCCGTCCACAGCAGTGTGGGCGAGGTCTCCGGCAAGGAGACACGGGGCCAAAGGTTGAGCTGATGCGCGGCGTACCGGACCGCAAACGGCCACAGAAAATGGGGGGCAGCCGCATGGATCATGGAGGTACGAGCGACCTCCATGACTAAGTCAATGCGGCGCTCAGCAACCCCATTCTGCTGCGGAGAGGCCGGAAGCGTGAATGTCTGGCGGATGCCGTGCTCCGCACAGAAGGCTGCCAAGAGGTCTGAGGAGAACT